TGGTATTTGGCTAACCGGAGTTAAACCATGACAGTTACACTACCGCAGCCCTTTAATCCTGCACTGACATGCAAAGACCAGAAGACATAGTCTTTGCTCCAAAGATTTTGCTTACATTGTAAGCACCGTCATTAAACAAAACCACCAATCTCTCAACCTTACGGCCATGCAAGTTTCACATCAAGCATATGCCAAGGTACGAACTAGCTTTCTAAGCCTCTGGGCACAAACAAACTCTAGACCTCAGTTGTTTCACTAAGTTATCCCTGAGCCACATGTTGCTGCCACTGGAGGGAATATTGACAGCAGCGCAGGGATTTTCACACTGTTCTTGCCCTGGGAAGCTACAAACATCATCGACAGCAACACACAGAAATCTTCATCATTTCAGAAGTACCTGAAACGGAATCCCACCCCTCAGACCTCACTGCCACCAGAAAGCTCCCAACAAACAGAATTAAAAAAGAAAGAAGGAAAAAATATTCTCCTGTTAAGTCGCTTTCTTTAGCGGAAGGAAAGGGGTATTAGCTCTATTGCCAACGACATACTATGAAAATCCGAGTCTCTACAACACAACCGGGAAGAGCAGCATATACTTTGGAAAATAACCACAGAACTCTCTTTCCCACTTTCCTCCATTGAGCCTGAGGACAAGAAATTTAGTCCTCACTGAAATTTTGCTTCTCTCATCCTCTGGCTTTTAAAGCACGTAATAAATTTTACAAGCCTTATCAAGGAAGGGCTGGGACAAACTGGAACGAAATACTTCATGAATACTTTTTTGAGCCAAATATACTATTTCCTGTATTATACATCACACTGAATAAATTAAATGGGAAACAAAAATAAGGCAGACACTCTTCCTTAAGGTCAGACATTATTTACTACTTCAGTATTAGAACATGTGAAGGGAGGTGATTATTCCTCCTCCTTCAGGGCTGAGTAACTGGTTTTGTAAAAAGAGTGAGTTCACAGGTATCATAAACCAGCTGATCAATTAAAAGGCAAAAAGAAACATGAGAGTAGGAGTGTGTCTTTAACGGACATGCACCTTCCCATCCTCCAGCTTTTTCCGACATTTCCCCAGATTTTTATTTCTCACTGTATACTTACCAATTGGGAGTCTGAAGTATGACATATTTTTAACTTTGTTCCTTTCTCCTTCATCTCATACATAAGTTCATTTAGTATGTGAGTCTGTGCCAAGTTCTAAAAGAAAAAAAAACAAACCCAAGAAATGCTGATCTTTGAACTGTGTATTTTTAATTCCGGTATAAATTCTAAGTTCAGGGTTAGACAAAACTAGATATATTTAAGAACAGATATATTTAATTATGTACAACTGAGGTTGAAATCAGACCACTAGAAAAGCAGGTATCACCCATACAAGAGCCAAGATCATTGACCTCAAACTGTTTCTAAAATTGTATCTACTTATGTAATTCCAGAATAGTTTCCTGGTAATAACTTTTTTATTTTTGTTGAACAAGATTCAGGGATTTTATGCACTGGCTTTTTTTGCTGGGTACATTAGTGTCAGAAAACATTTATTTCTTTAACGTCTGCATCCCCCCTCATCATGGCCCAAGAAGCACAAGGGCTTTGGCACAGTGAAAAGCATCACCTCTCTGAATTTAGAGAAACCAACTCAAAATATCTCAGTTTTCTGTCCTTATTTTTGGTTAACTTTGACTGCAGATTACTTAGGTTTCTACAATGCCCCAAGTATGGACAGAGAGTGATTTGCAGTAATTCTACTCCTTACAAATTTACTGTTGGTTGGCTGAGTTTTGTAATCACCACCATAAACACAAGGTAGAGAGTGCCAGTTCAGCACACCTTCGTAGCAGTGTTGTCTCATCTGCTCGCTTCTGTCTGCAGACATACAGACGTCTCTGCTCAACCGACAAGCAATAGGATGCTCCAATATAAAACCTGCTAAGGCTGCTGCTTTTTTTAGGATGTTGGATTAGTTGTAAACTCAACATCAATACAAGTCTATTGCCATAGCTCATTCCTTTTATTCTGGTCAGATAAAAAACCATTATCAATAAAAGTACTTTTGTAACTGCATCCATTATAGGGGCTTAAAATCACCACAAGGCACTGTGCAGACATTTACATTATGCATAAAGTATCACTTTTCGCACCCACCAGTATGGTAAATACTGTGCATTACTCATAACTGCCTAATGCTGAACTACAAATAAAACCATATGCTGGAGTACAGCCCACACATACACAGTGTCTAAAACACTTGACATTTTCATTTGTCTCATTAATGTGAGAAATGCTACTGATCCAGGGATTCTTTTTTGTTACAACAGGAAATAGTGCTTGGATAGCAAGAAGCAAAAAGGATTTGAAAAGGGTCTTCAAAAACAGAATCAAGAAAGGCAACAGTCAGAACCTTTTCTGAAATCCACAGTTTATACAGATGAATTACTTCTGAAATCTAAGAAAAGAAAGCTGTGTGATCTTTCCATCTTACCTGCATGACAGCATTAAAAAAGCACGTGTTTCCTAAATTATTTATTCCTTTGACTGGAACAGATGCACCATTACCAGAACTTTTTCCTTTCAGTATTTCACTGGTTTCACTGTTTTCTTCACGGACCCGTATGATTTTTGATGAACCTATAATTAAACTATAGATTAGCATTCCTATATAATTCCACAGTTTAATCAATTCAGTCCTTCCATGGATTACGTTTATAGGTTTTAAGGTATGTAGAAAGACACCTTGATGGTACTCTAAGCTGCTTTACATAATCTTTACATAAAAACATCAGTAGTTAAACCCCCAGGAAAAAAAGTCCCCCCAACAACCACATACATTCAACAAAACCTTCCACAATAATCACACTATCCCATAAGACTGTAGCTTCTTCAATTACCCAAGCAATAAAGCAAAATGGGCTCTCTTAGTTTATTAACAATAGGCAGTTAAGATGCATGTTCATTAGAACTACTAGAAACACCACACAAAGGCTGCTTTTGATGCATGTGAAGAGAGGCAACCAAAAGGTACCACCTGAATGCTGCAAGTCTCTATCAATTATCGTGCTCTGAACCGCCCCGTACAGCTCAAAGGCCAAACTGGAGTTGTTACCAGTTTCCCCAAATGCCACATTTGCTGTCAAAGGCCAAACTGGAGTTGTTATCAGTTTCCCCAAATGCCACATTTGCTCCTCCACCCACCTCCCCTTGCTGCAGCTTGAGTGGCTACTAACACAACCTAAATGCATACAATGCCGCTGTTTTAATATTATACAACAAAAACTTGGTAACACTGCAACGGAATATGCTACCAGTGTATTTCCTTATTTCCCTTATTATTTAAACAGATGAGGGGCAGCAAAGTTAGACAGTCATTAACTTGTAGCCTAGAGGTAATGGAAATACTCGAGATAACAATATTTAGCCTCGAATTCTACTAGCAACTTTCATATCGTCATGGTTGCAGGACTAAATATGAACATTACTGACATCTGCAGTGTCTTAAATATTGATTAACAATGCATGTCAATGTAAACGAGTTATGGACTTAATAGATGCCAAGAACTGTGATGCTGCAATCTCTGTCTTGACATATGAATTCATATATTTGTTCTAATGAGTTTCACGTTGAAGTCTCATTAAAGTGTTCTTGAGAAATAACTAGCAGACCTATTTACATTAATGAAATGCTCATGCCAAAAGCTTCTTCCATAAACACTCCTAGGTAGTTTCTTGCTTAGAAGATTAAAATATATAATTAAATTAAAAAGTCGTCCTTAAAATATCTACTGTATCTGGAAACATGCTTCTGAGGCAGTTTGTCTGCACCCTATAGTGCCATCAAGGCATAATTAGTTTTCCAAATTGTACCCAAGTTTGTCAAAATACATTTAGAGGTGCTTTGCTGTTGAAAAACATGTTTAAATGTTCTTGCTAACACTGCTTATATAGCTTTAAAATATTCTCCTTTCCACTGGTGTGGAAAATTAAGACAGTACAAGGGCAAAGTAAGAGATCAAGTTCTCCTTGAAACAGCAGACAACGTGTTTCTGAACGCGACAAATGACAAATAGCCTGGGAGCTGCTCACACCCTGAAAGTTGCTGAAATTGCAGCAACACCTTTTAATGGACATGCTTTCAAAGGGCACGCTACAGTGTCCGAGACTCATTCACCCACAGAGAGCTCCAAGCATCTACAACTCAAAGGCGTCGCTCACTCTCAGAAGTTTAATCATGGAAGGGGAGAGTTCTTCCCCTCAGACATGTGTGCCATACAGAGAAGTGCATGGGAGAAGAGATGGTTAAAAAAAAAAAAAAGCAGCCAAAATGTGTAAATAATTTGTGTATTAGTATACCACAGTTGTTGCATTTATCCATCGGCATTCAAAAACATCTGGGACAGCATCTTAAAGTAAACAATGTTCACAAGGCCATCTGGACAAAACTGCAGGCAAAAATTAAAGCATAAGCATATGGAAAAGCAGATTTTTCTCTTCCCTTTAGCAGTGCAGGATGACAAATGTCAAACCTAGATCTGTCCACGCTTCACTGTGCTATGCTTTGCAGCACCACCTGGCTCTCCTTGCACAGCCACCAAATATGGACAGCACTGCCACAGCGGACCGTATCTGCAGGGCAAACTCGATAAAAGCATTTCACTTCATGGTTAAATGGCAGCTTCACACAAGTAGCAAGGTTCCATTTGCAGAGCCTTACATATAAATTATTTAAGGGGGGAAAACAAAGCCGAAGCATCCAGCTTTGCAATAAGAGCTGGATGAATACGCAATTACAAAACACAATAAATGAGAACCAGACATCCGATTGCCACAAAGCTGGATAATTAGTATAGGGATAAGGAGACACAGCAGTAAATTAAGAAAAGGCCTGCACGTTGTTACTGAAGTCTAGGAAACTCCTTTCATTCAGAAGGTTTTAATTATTGCCTCTTGATTTTTTTAATAGATTTTACAAACACAATCCACGTGACATTTTACTGTTTTATTTGTATCTGGGAAAAAGTCTTGACAGAAAAGTGTCTCTTTTGCCATTACAAACATTACCCACTGCCTCGCTTATTCCATGCAGATATTTTTAAGGACATATACAGAGCCAGAGGAGGGATAGCAGTTTTTAATTTAACTCTGCTCAGTGTCCCCAGCTCAGTGATAAATGACAGACAGGCCTGGAGCTGAATGTTCAGTTGACATGTGAAGAGTTGGTCAGTCTTAATAGAAGATGCTGGTAATGACTGCGATAGCTAATACTTCCACAGATTGGGGCTGGAGGGTCCTTCTGCAAGATTAACCCAAGGCTACAAGCACGTTATTAATCAAAATGGTAATATGTAATTTTTTAAAGTGAATTTGCACTGAACTCTTACATAGACTCTTGCTGACGCAATCTTGCCATCCCGTAATGTTTTAACAGGCATGCTTTCGGATATGAAAAGTGACTTTTACGCCGGTATAGACACACCAAGGACCCCAGCAGAAGGATTCCATCGAAATGCCTGTCATCTGCTGCCTTCGGCTCCTGGCCAAAAAGTGTTTTGTGAAAAGCAGCACTCCAAGCCATCCGCTGCGTGCAGTAATACCTCTTACAAAGGACCTCGTTAATCTTAACAAGAGCAAGGAAGGTGAAAAAGCACAAAAATAATAAAATTCATAGATTGATTTCTGCCTGTGGTTCGTTTACATCTTTTAGAGAGTTGACATGGCGCCCCTCAACCTCTCTGCCCTTCTCAGGCCCTGTGGACATCAGCCCCAGGCAGGCCTGTCCCTCCACAGCAGGGACAGCGCATCCAACTGTGACTTTTCTGGGGCTCTCGCATTCAGACCATTTCTCTCCGTCAGACGACTCCTGCAGTTTTGGTGTAGAGGTGGCCTTTCTAATCCAGTCACAGAGGGAAAACTCCTACCCAAGTTGCGCCTTGACCACCACCACCTCCTTCTCCCTCAACAAAGCCTATCAAGACCCATCGCCCAGCTCTCTGTCCAACTCGTCACACCCTACTGACCAACCCTTCCCTGGCATGGGGTCAGTGCCTGCCTCTGGTCCCACCATGACGTCCAGCTCCAGTGCTCACTCCTTCGGATCTCAGACAGCTGCGTTTCCGCTTGGGCACAGCCTTTGGGCTCGGCAAAGCTGCCCGACGTCACCCTGCTCTCCTCCATGCTAGCAACCCCGCTTCCCACCAGACCCGCAGGAAAGAGGGCAGCAGCCAGGCTGCTCCTCTGCTGCAGGTC